TGAAGTTTCTTTTAGCTCTTACATTCATTCTTTTGTTTTGTTTTTTGTGGTACTGGAGTTTGAATTTAGGGCCTCACACTTACTATGCAGGCGCTCTACCACTTGAACCATTTGGCCAACTCTTTTTTTGGTTTTGGGTGTTTTTGAGCTAGAGTCTCACTTTCATTTTGCCCAGGCTAGTCTTAAACCACAATCCCCCACATCTCTGCCTCCTGAGTAGCTGTAAGTACAGGTGTGCCACCAGCACTTGGCCGCTTACATTCATTCTTGATCATAAAGCCATCTGTCATTGACTTCAATGGAAGAGGGTAGTAATGCTGTGGAAATATGATTATTTCCAAAGGAAAAATGTTTTTTAGCAGCAAAAATTATTATGAGTGAAAAACAGATCTAGTTGAGACAGTTGGTAGGGAAGAGAGGATACTGAGGATAAATACAACCTGTGGTGTGACACAGCATCTCTAGAGCCATGGCAGGTGCCCCTATGTATTTCTACAATGAGGCAGACACCTAACAGACCATTGGACTTATATATGGGAAATTTCTTAGTGTGCTTATATCTGCTTAAAAATGAAATTGGAATTGAGATTTCTCTTTTGTTATTTGACAGTCTTTGGATAATAAAACATTTATAAACTTAAGGAAATAATAAATGATTACTGTAAAAAAACCTTTCAAAGCATAGAGAAAGCAGCAAATGAAATTAATCTCTCTCTGAAGATTTCCTATCATTCCTCTCAGAGATAACCAATGCTATCTTTTCTCTTTTTTATTCTTTAAGATATTTTCCACGTATTTATACAAACACCTTTCTCTGCCTCTGTCTCTGTCTCTCTCTGTCTCTCTGTCTCTCTCTCTCTCTCTCTCTGTATATAGATAGATATTCACACATATCACTTTTACTTCACTGAATTTTAGTTAATATTTTGAGAAATATATTAATCCTAGAGTAAAAGTATTCACATAAAATAAACGAGTAAATAAATTTCTTAATAAATTAAAAAATTATAAGATTAGGGAGCAAAATAGAAACAACAGAAAATATCCAGTTGCTAATAAAATTATCAGCTGACAGTGGGAATTCTTGGTTCTGTTTTTGCTTTTTTGAGACAGGGTCTTGCTATGTAGCCCAGACTGGCTTCAAACTCACAATCCCCCTGCCTCAGCCTTCTGAGTGCTGGGATTACACACATGTATCACCACCTTTAGCTCTGGCCTTCAATTTTTTATGGGCAGGAAGCAGGCTGAGAAAGTTATTCAACTGTAAAGGGAAAAGAGTTTCTTATAGACAAGGAAAATTGACTCAGAGGTCTTAGGCTGCACCTCAGACACTGGGGGCAAGAGCTAATGAGCAACCACATAAAGAAAGGGAGGCCCCAAGCCATTGTAGCTACTCCACCAGAGGTGCTAGACATGTGGGTGAAGCCATCTTGGACATTCCAGACCCAGCTAAACTCACAGCTGAATGGACCATGTCTGATTCTAGCTGACATCAATGGGGAAACAAACTGTCCAACCGTGCTCTTTCCAAATTGCAGAATTGTGGGAAATCAATAGTGATGGTTGTTTTAAGTCACCAAGTTTTAAAACATGGTTTATTATGAAGCAAAAGATAATTGAAATTTATCAAATGTTAGGGTGTTTTTCTATTACTTTAACCTTACTCTGTGACTGAAGAGGTGGCAATAGTGTTAGCTAAAGGACATGAAGTTCTCAAGACAGACTAAATTCCATAAAGGTAGACTCGATACGCCATAGTCCTTGGCTATCCATAAAGCTTAGCACAGTATTGGCACATAATAGCCTCCCAAACATTTTCTGATTGAATTATGAAATGAATGGAGATAAGACCTCCTACCATCAAGAGGATGAACAAAAAATTTAAGCTGATTTTTATCCTATATATTTTCTTTTTCAAAAGCATCTTTATTGTGAGAAAAAGTGATGCCTCAAAAGCCATCAGAATATTCTGAAGGGAAAGATTTGTAGGAGTGAGGCAGTTGTCAACCTTGATTTTTTCTTAATGTCACTCCTACATCTAGACAAATGTGGGTTACTCTGTGAAGTGCCTGGTAGATGCTCCAATAACTGCTGGTATTGAAATGATCATTTTCTATTATTGGAAGTGCTAAAAATCAAAATGTGCTCCATGGGGCTAGAATTGCAGTTAGCATTAAGACCAAAGTAGAGTACCCAATAGTCAAAGTTTGCTTGGAGATGAAAACAGTTCAAGTGTCTTGTCACATAAAGCCATTTCTCTGACTCCCTGGTCCAAAGAACAATTCTTTTTCTTTTCTTCCTTACTTTCTTTTGTGGGACTGAGGTTTGAACTCAGGACTTCTCACTTGCAAAAGCAGGTGCTCTACCGTTTGAGCCACACCTCCAGTCCATTTTGCTCTGGGAATTTTAGAGATAGGGTCTCACTATTTGCCTGGGCTGGCCATTAACAGCAACCCTCCCAATCTCAGCCTCCCCAAGTGGCTAGGATTACAGGTGTGAGCCATCAGTGCCTGGCTCCAAGGAACAATTTCGGAATGTCACTTGGTCACAGTGAATGTCTGGTCTGCTCCATGGTTATCTCAAAGAACACCTAGCCTAACCTCTACTTTTCTGAGACTGATGATTTCATACAGTACATGTCTTTCCTGAGATATGAAAGAAAACAGACTGCCATCTGAAATCACGTTAGAAAATATTTAGGACATAGAAAGGTTCTAGACAATAATGGGAAATGTTCTTTTAGGATATAGTTACTTGTATGTCCCATCACAATATCATCTGAAGACTGACTGTCTTGGACAAGCTAGCTTTACTTAAAAGAACAATAATTTAAAGGTCTTCAGAATTGGAAGAATTGGGTAGTTTAAATTCAAAACCAATAATTATATATTTTTTCTATTCTATTGTTTAAAAATATAAGTTAAACAGATAAAAATAGAGAAGATTAATTCAAAATTAAAGCCATTGATTTAGGGCTCTTCTTGAAAGGTCAGTGTGTGGGATATGAAAAAGGCACTGTAGCAACAGAGTGTTCACACAAAAGACATTTTAGCAGCAGAACCTATAAAGAGCACATTAACTATTTATTATCATGCACATCAAGTTGCTGGTTGTTTCACTTATCAAAGAAACTAAAAAATGGAATTTTCTTTGGACATTCTTTGGATGTAGTAACAATACAGTTTTGGAATCAGTTGTTAGAAACTAAATTAAAGTTGGTTTATCACACTCACTAATTATTCTATATACTTAGTCTCCCTGAAGCTTTATACAATTCTCCCTTTGTTACAAGGTTCTGTTTCTCCCTAGGGTGTTCTGAATCCAGGCAGGTAAAGAACTGAAGTGCTTGGAAACCAGTGTATTGTAGTATCTATACAGCCAAGCAGATATTTTCATTTGAACTTAAAATATTATTAATTTTTTTCCTGTGCATTAGATGGGACCAACCCATCTAATGGTTAGAGGTTTCATCTCTACCATATGGGTAAGGACATCCCTTGAGCAGAAGAAAAAAGTGAAGACAAACATTTTTAAAGGCTATAAGAGTATTTCTTTCAGAAACACATTTAATAGTGGAAAGGAGGTTTTTATTCAGAAATTCCTAGCAACCACCTGATGTTGCTGTCAGCCTGGCCAATTATCTGCCAACATGGGTGATCCTTTCATTCACCACTAGAGAGAAGTAGAGAGACCTTAGGTTCTGGGAAGCAGCAAAACCCATTTCCTTTACATAGAGGTGTGTGTGGGCTGGTCTCATATTCTAGCACTTCAGTGCTGCTGCTGCTGCACCCTCCTTGCTTCAGATTAACACTGAGCCATGGGAATCAAAGAAGATCCTCTCTGCTCAAATCCAACACCATCAAGGCCAGGGTTGAACTCTGTTTCATCTTCTTCCAAAAATGAAGCAGATTTCAGAGCTTCTCAGACGCTATAAGACATCATCACATAAGGCAGCTCCAGGGGAGAGGCAAAGTAAGGTGGTGCTAATAACAGGGACTCTGGGGACAGATCAGCAACCTTAGAAACAAATGTGGGACATTTTCCTTGATCTAACTTCTTCATTTCCCTTTTCCCCACCAAGGAGCAAGTGATACTCAATTGAGCAGCCCTGGTTTTTACCATGCAATCTAGCAGAACATATAGACACCAGGGATTCCTTATCCTTGGTTATTTGTAAAAGAAAGAAATCTCTATCTCACAGTAGGCTGTGTGGACAAGATTTACACCTTTGGAAACCCAATTGAGGCCTTTCTCCAACAGTTTCCAGATTGCTCTCCATTTCCTTTTTCAATTGTAGTCCCCACCTCCCTCAACTGACTGGAACCATGCACAAAACTAGCCTCCAATAAATGTCAACACCTTAACTTCTGCAGGTTGCTAACTCCTGAAGTGATATCTTAAAAGAATGTTATGTATAAATGCAAGGTTTGAGTAACCTCAGCGATCTCTAATAACACTGTAAATATCCTTGGTTTAATTAGTAGTCCTGGAGTTAGGTAATGACCTGTGGCTCTCTGAGCTAGGCCTCTTGAGGTTTCTAGTCTTCAGGGGCTGCCTGCAACTATGATGTGCACATACACAATCTTCTTTCTCATATACTTCATAAGTCTTCTGTAGACCTTCCTAGGCACCTACTCACAATTATTGCAACACCCATGCTAATTGATTCATACTTTCCCAAATTTCTAAAGTGACCCATTGCATCAGTCTAGGTCTCAAGTCAGATACTTCTGGACTCAAATTGTTGCCTTGAAACTACGTCCCCAGGCAAAAGAATAAAAAGGAAGAAATTCCTAGATTGGTGTTCATTGACGCCCATTCTCTCCAAGCAGAAGAGCTGGCTGGTGGGGGAGGGGGAATGCGTTTCAGTTTTCAGAACTTCTGAAATCATTCAAGGCGACAGGTCAACCAATCCGGGGCCGTAAGCAGACTTGACAGGTTTCTTCTGGGCTGACGGCCATTGACTGAGTTCTCCGACCAGATAAGTCAGTTGGCTGAGTCTACAGTAGGTGGGGCACGTTCACCAGCTCAGGGGTAGTGACTGGGAGTTTTGTTGCAACATCGGCAAACCCAAGCAGCGGGCTGCAACAGGAGATACCCTTTTGCCCCAGGAGCACACGACCAGATTTCACCCTAATCAGAGAGGGCGATGCATCAGATCCCTAGGGTCCAGCCCTTTCTCCTACTGTTGGGCACGCTCAGTGTTGGCAGGTCCAGGGCAAGGCGCCTCGGGTCTTGGTGCTCACTTTGTGGATCAGCAGGTGTGGGGTAGGAACAACCTAGAAACTCTCCCCCTTGGTGTGCAAGAACTGGCGGAGGCCCGTGGAGCGGGCAGGCGGGGGCACGTGCTAGTATGTAGGTGCTTGTGTAACTAGCTCCCTAGACACTTAGCCCCGACATCATTCCTGCGGAAGGCTCCTTTGTGCCCCTTTTTCTGCTGCGACGCGCAAAGAACTGGAGATCCTGCCGCTTACATAGGACGAGGACACCCAGAGCAAAGGGAGCGGAGCACTTGTCTCTGGAGCAGATACGGGAGTGGGAATTTGGAAAGTTCCCCAACTAGGAACACACGTGACCTCCTCCTGAAAGTAGTTCCGACCGCGGCTCGTGTATCCTTCCACCTCCTTTGAACCCTCCTAGGCCTCCTCGCCCCGCCCACTCGCAGGGCTGCAGCTTCCTACCGTTCTGTACTTCGCACTCAGACCCGGTAACCCTGGCCTGAAGCGCGCACGGTACGGCTCAGCCTGGGGAGCACGGACCCTGGCCCCGGGCGATCCATCCTACCGGGTTTTCTCAGTGGCCAAAAAGGGGCGGGGCGAGGTGGCCTCTGAGGACCAAGCTTGAGTTCCAGCGGTGAACCGACTTGGAGCTTGAGGGGAGAGATGCTGGGCTCCCCAAGGGGCAATGGAGGGGGACTATCGTGTGCGCTCCACCAACTGGAATCCACGTTCAGTCCACGCAGACGTGTGTCCTTTGGGCTCTGGAAATTCAGGGGAGACGTGCGTGCGCCCACACTTACCGTGCAAAATCATGCTTGGAGGGGAGGTTTCATTTTTAGGACAAATGAACTCGAGTTGCCCGGGAAGCGAGAGGTGGGGCAGGGAATGGGAGCCGGATGAGGTGATACACGCTGGTGACACAATAGGGGGTTGTACTTTGTGCTAAGACTGACACCTTGAGGAGACGGTGGAGGAGGGGTGGGGTCTCCAGGCAAAGGCTGCTACAGTCAAATGCCTGCGAACGATTGTGATCTAACAATGCAGAAGGAGAGAAGTGAGAGCGCAGGTCGTCCCAGGGAAATCTAGGTAGAGAGGTGTCCTCGCTGCAAGGGACCGTTCCCGCATTTCCTTCTGAGCAGCGTGATCACCTGGTCCTTTGCACCTGTGTGCGCAGGTAACCTCGATCAGTCAGTGACACTGCTCAACGCACCCATCTCGGCTTTCCTCCCTAGTCCCTCCCCGCGCCACAGCCCATCCTGCCTGGCTGGGTTTCTGGGCCGAGGCAGCAGCCGCAGCAAGTGCAGTTACAGGCGGGCGCCTGCGAACAAGCCCGAGCGAGCCCCTGGCAGTCACACTGGGCATGCTCAGTAGCGCAGGCAGGTTGGGGGCTCAGCGCCTGGCCCCTGTTCCCTCTCCTCCTCTCTTCTCCCCTCCCCTCCCCTCCCTGGGCAAAAGGCCGGTCCGCCTCTCGCCTCCCCTCAGGCTCCCGAGGCGCCCGGCTCCCGGCGTGGCGGCGGCGGAGGGGGCGGGTTGGCCGGCGGACGGTGATGTGGCGGGACTCTTTGTGCACTGCGGCAGGATACGCGTTCGAGCGCAGGGACGCGGCTGCGCTCAGTTCTCTCCTCTCGGAAGCTGCAGCCATGATGGAAGTTTGAGAGTTGAGCCGCTGTGAGGCTAGGCCCGGCTCAGGCGAGGGAGATGAGAGACGGCGGCGGCCACGGCCCAGAGCCCCTCTCAGCGCCTGTGAGCAGCCGCGGGGGCAGCGCCCTCGGGGAGCCGGCCGGCCTGCGGCGGCGGCAGCGGCGGCGTTGCTCGCCTCCTCTCGGGCTTCTCTTCTTTTAACCGTGCAGCCTGTTCCTCGGCTTCTGCGGAGAGGGAAGGTGGAAGCCGTGGGCTCGGGCGGGAGCCGGCGGAGGCTCGGCGGCGGCGGCGCCTCCCGCTCCTGGAGCGGGGGGGAGAAGCAGCGGCCGCGGCCGCAGCTCCGGGAAGGGGGTCGGAGTCGCCTGTCACCATTTCCAGGGCTGGGGACGCCGGAGAGTTGGTCTCTCCCCTTGTACTGCCTCCAACACGGCGGCGGCGGCGGCGGCACGTCCAGGGACCCGGGCCGGTTTTAAACCTGCCCTCCGCCGCCGCCGCACCTCCCCTGGCCCGGGCTCCGGAGGCCGCCGGAGGAGGCAGCCGTTCCGAGGCTTGTCCGTCTTCTCCCCATTCCGCTGCCGCCGCTGCCAGGCCTCTGGCTGCTGAGGAGAAGCAGGCCCTGTCGCTGCCACCATCCAGCAACGGCGGCAGCAGCAGCAGCAGCCATTACCCGGCCGCGGTCCAGAGCCAAGCGGCAGCAGAGCGAGGGGCCTCGGCCACCGCCAAGTCCAGAGCCATTTCCATCCTGCATAAGAAGCCCCGCCACCAGCAGCTTCTGCCATCTCTCTCCTCCTTCTTCTTCAGCCACAGGCTCCCAGACATGACAGCCATCATCAAAGAGATCGTTAGCAGAAACAAAAGGAGATATCAAGAGGATGGATTCGACTTAGACTTGACCTGTATCCATTTCTGCCGCTGCTCCTTTTTTTTTTTTTTTTTTTTTTTT